TGAAGTGCAATTCATATACCATACAATTCACCCATTTAAAGTGTAGAAATTAATGGCATTTAGTAAACGCACAGAGCCGTGCAACCACCACCACAATCAGGACATTTCATCACCCCATAATGAAAGCTGGAACCCTGTTACCATCCGTCCCCATCCGCCCCCTCCCCTGCTATAATCCCATTCCGCAGACAAAGGACTGAGGCTCAGAGAGCTGGTGTGATTGGTACAACAGGCAGGGGTAAGAAGGAGGGCTGGGACTCAGACCCCCCCCCTGCCCCTCCTCACACAGCCTGCCAGGGGTCTACTCTGTAACCCGTTAAATATGCAGGATCTGCAGAGGGTGGAAAATAGAACCAGATGGTGACAAAGCTTACACGTGCCTTCTGCTTCCACATCAGGCCTGTGACTCACGGAGTCGCTGAAGGCAAAAGGGGGGATGCACAGCACAGCCAAGTCCCCATCGCCCTAGTGCAGGGGCAGTGAGGCCCGGGACCCAGAGAGGCAGAAATGGCAGTTGGCCAGAGCCTTTCAAGCAGTCTGGGCTCTAGATTGTACATGGGGTCTCTACTCTGCTGGCCCCATTCCTGTGCCCCACAATCTCTCCTGGACCTACAAAGAACTGGCCCCGACCCCAGGGCTCCATGTTCCTCCCAGGAATTCAGAGCATGGCTAACGGAGGTCCGTTCTATACTTGGCCCCCAGCCGACAGGCCCTCAGAGGCTGGAGGTCACAGCAGTGTCGGAGGAACCACCTCACTGATTGGCTGGGCTCCCCGAGAAAGGCTCTGGACAGCGGTCTATCAGGTTGCTGCTGCTGCCTGGGCACATTCCCAGTGGGGGACCCTACGGTCTGACAGCTGCCCCTGGCCCCGAGGGAAAACACCCTGCAGGTAGAACATGGCCTCCCCACATCTCTTATTCTCTTCCCCCAAACATTCTCAAGCCTACCCTGGGTCAGTCATTCTTCCTGCTGGCCAAAGGCCCAGCACTTTCTTTCATGTTTATAATGTTTTAACAGTCTTGAGCCAATGCCACCTCCTTCGGGGAGCCTTCCTAGATGCCCTAACCAAAAATTGGTCCTCCTGCAGCCTCACACAGGATTGTAATGTGTCTGCTTTTACATATGGGTCCCCATTATCCTACAAACTCATCCAAGGCAGAGGTCCTGGCTTCCTCATCCCTAAGTCGTTCGTGACCCCCCTCCCCACCGCTGTGCCACAGCAGGCCCTTCAGAAGAACAGGTGGGAAGTGAGGTGAAGTACCCAATCCTCAGTGTTAGCATGAATTAACCCCAGTGCACAGAACCCTCCCAGTGTCTGTCCCAGTGCCCATGGCTGAGTGACTATGGGATGGCAGGAGATGGCTGCCCCCCCACTGTAGGTTCCAGTTGGAAATGAGGATCAAGCCCCCAGTTTTGACATGGCGCTTCTCACCAGAGTAGCTAAGATCCAAATGGCTGCAGTCTGTCCACACAAAGAGGTCTTTGTTCAAGACCTCACAGTTGGAAGATTTGCTCGGCCATGAGGGCCATGCTCAGGGCTGATGTCTTTCCTCGCTGTACCTGCAATGCAACCCTGGTCTGGCACAGAGCAAATCCTAGGACCAGCCAGGGAGGGGGGTGTCAGCTATAGGTTTAGAGGGGTCTGGCTTCAAACTCCTTCAGCAAGGCCTGCCCGTGTCACAAAAGCACCAATGCTAGAGCTGGAAGGGGCTCTGAGCCAATCCATTCCAGCCTCTGAGATGTACCCAGGAGGCAAGTGGAGCCCAGAGAAGGCAGGCAGCTTGCTCAGGGTCACACAGCCATGTGCCTCCGACTCCCAGCTAACAGGCTGCCCCACTTCCACTCTGGGCTCCCTCTCTTATCCTGCCCTTCTCTCAAGGTCAGGCCAAGGCCCGCCTTCCCAGTGTGTCTCCTGGGATGATCCCCTCCAGCTCTCACTCAGGCTTCCCTCTGCCCAGGATACCCTCCCCACCCTCTGGCCCCAGCAAACTTCCACTCACCCTTCAAGGGCCAGTTCAAATATCACCTTCTCTGGCACCAAAGACAACATTCACTTCCATCGACAGTACCATCCCAACCATGCTTCAGAAAACCAAAAAGTTAATGCTGAAATTACTAGAAGGGTTTCTCCTGCTTGGCACCCAAGTTCCTTGAGGTCAGGGACGGGTCTCTGCAAAGCAGGGTAAAGGCAACATCTGCATACACACCACATGCAACTGAAGGGCTTTACAAACTATAAGGTCCTATGCTACCATAAGCTGTTTGCATTATCTTCAGATATCCCTGCCATGGCTCAGTTTCCTGCACGTGACCCACCAGGGGCTGGGCCTGCAGTGGGAAGGGCTCCCTGTTGCTACTAGTCTGTGTGTCACTTTTTTTTTTTTTTAAGATTTTCCATTTTTTAATTTGAGAGAGAGCGCACGTAAGTGAGAACATGAGCAGGGGGTAGGGGCAGAGGGAGAGGGAGAAGCAGACTCCCCGCTGAGCAGGAGCCTGACGCAGGGCTCAGTCCCTGGACCCTGAGATCATGACCTGAGCCAAAGGCAGTAGCTTAATCGACTGAGCCACCCAGGCGCCCCTCTATATGTCACGTTCATTTTCTTAATCTCCCTGAGGGCCTTGCCCATCACCAATGGTCAGTACATATTTTTTTAAGAAAGAATAACTTCGGGACTTGAGGTACTGAGGAAATTGTGGTTAAAATCCAAAGACCACATACAGATAGGGAGTTAAATCTTATCAGAGATGCATTGTGGCCCATGTATCCAAAGATGGCTCAGCTAAGTCACTATGAACAGCCCCTTGCTCTCATGGGACAGGGTAGCTTTCCAGAATGGGATGGAAACGAGGAAATCCCTGCCCCGGGGAGGTCTCTGCGCTGGGCTGTGGCTAGGCACTGGCTCAGGAGACAGCCACGAGCAGAAACGGTGGCCTGGTGGCAAGCAAAGACTGTGGACAGTTACATGGTAATGGTGTTGCTCATCCACTGACCCCTTTGCTGGGGCCCCGGTGTACTTTTACAGCGGTAGCAGAAGAAGTGGGAGATGCAGGCCTGTCACTGAATGGCCGACAGCCTCAGGGGCTGAGGGCTGTGGGAGTTCACCATGTAATTCAGTCAAGCCACTGACCTGCACCAGGACTTTCTGTCTCTCTGCCTGCACGGACACTGGATCCCTGGGTGACTACAAGCAGCCCTTGGATTTTCAACCCAAACTGTGGCCACAGAACAGCACTAGCCAGCAGGCTTCGGCCGCACAAACCCGCTGATCCAGGGCAGGTGGCAGGCAGCCAAGGCTTGCACTGGAGTCAGGACAAGGCCTCAGGACAACCTGGGTTTCTCAAAGTCTGCCTCACAGAACCCTTCTGTTCCAGGTAATTCCAGCATCCGCTCCACTTTGAGAACCAACCACTGCCAAGACCATTCCTCTCAACAGGGCCTCTATCACCTCCAGTGAGACACAAACCGCTTCTTTGGAAAGCAAAAGATGTATTCTTTTCATATATGTATCAAGGGCAGATACACATACAATTTATAAACAGATGTGCAGCACATCTGTGGTATTAAAATTTCATGGAGGAAGGCAGTTAGAGAGAAAAAAATGGCTAAAAAGACTCCTCAGGGGTGGCGGTGATAATGAAAAAAAGATCAAGAAGCACTGGCCCAGACAAAGGTAGTGTGACATTCAGCAGGAAGACACCTGACAAGGATGGGAAGACAGTGAGAAGTGCTTGCAGCCCTGCTAGTAAAGAAAGACCCCCTCTCCCATCCCCAATCTGACTCATCCCTCACTTATGGCCAAACCACAGAACAAGGGGGTCCTTGTGGCTGAGGTCCCGGGACACATCACCTCATCCCTGACAAAGTAAAGGCCAGAATGCCCATCAGGGTCCTGGGACCATCACACAGGCTCACAAAGGCCTGAAACATGGGGGGATGGAGTCACACCCCAGCACAAGTCAAGCTGCAGATGGGGGGGCCACCCCTGGCTTTCTGGTTTGCAATAGGTAGCCAATGAGCAGGGCGTTCTAAGCTTCGGAGGAAGAAACAGGTCCTGAGAAAGGGAATCACAGGGCAGAGCACTGGGAAAGAGCAGGCTGGCCTTAGGACCAGAGACAGTGGGGGATGAGAAGGACGTAACAGTAAGAATCATAACAGCAGGGGCACCTGGCTGGCTCAGTGAGTGAAGCCTCTGCCTTCAGCTCAGGTCATAATCTCAGGGTCCTGGGATTGAGCCCCGTGTCGGGCTCCCTGCTCAGCAGGGAGTCTACTTTTCCCTCTCCCTCTGCCCCTCTCCCTCGCTCATGCCCATGCTCACTGTCTCAAATAAATAAATCAGTAAGTCCTTAAAAAAAAAAAGAATCATAACAGCAGCTCATGCCCACAGAGCCTTGACCCCATGCCAGGCAGGTGCCAACCACCAACCATCTGCCCGGTAGGGTAAGGTAGGTCCTATTATCATCACTACCACATCAGCTTCATGAGGGCAAGGACCACGTGTACCCACACCCTGTGGCGGCCCCCAGAGCCTGAACAGCGCTGAGCATAGGGGACACACCAAGTAAGTACGTGCATTATGAATAAATCCTCGCTTCACGGATAAGGGAGAGCAGTGCAGAGAAGGTGAGTAATATCTCCGAAGCCTCACGGCCAGCAAGTGGCACAGCCAGGACTGAACCCGAGCAGAGCCTGCCCTCCTTACTCCTGCATGTGCCTGGGCTCAGAGAAGCGCCCTCGGCAAGCTGTAGTTCCCCTGTGTCCATGGATGGTGAGGGAAGGAACAAGGCACCATCCTAACCAGGCCCTGCACACCTGCTAAGTGTGAACCTTGTGGCCAGTGGGGTATGCAGAGCTCATGGAGGCAATGAAGCCCGTGGCCCAAACCACACATTGTGCCCCTAGGAGTCCCAAATACAGGGGAGTCCAGGAGAAAATAGTCGGATGGGTTCAGGTAGCCTGGGCAGGGGGCAAAAGGAAGCTTGACGAAAGGCTTGTCCCTTACCAATCCGTCGCAGTTGCTGATGGCGACAGCTGCCCCCAGCATGCCCATGACATCCCCGGTGTAGACACACTCCCGCCGCAAGGGCTGACGGAATAGCTCCCGAAAGTCCTCCTGCCACTCCACCGAGGCTCCGGGCACGACCAGCCGGCGGTTGGGCCGCAGGCGCAAATGCAGTTCCTCCCCAAACACGGTAACGTTGAAATAGAGGGAGGAGCGCCCCACCCGGCCGGGCTGCAGGCTCGCTCCTGGGCGCTGGAGGCTGCGGGCCACCCGGAGTTGACCGGAGGGCGACTGTGCTGCCGGCGGCCCCTCCACTACCGCACTCCCCGTGGAGGCTGCCGCTGGCCTGGACAGCACGTGGGAGAGGAAGCGTCCCCGAAAATCTGTGCTGCATGGCACTGTCACACCATAGTCACTGAGCTTTCTGGAGAAACGTGGTTCTGCTGGAAGTAAACAAGGAGTTTTATCAACGTAGCCTGTGCAAAGGTAAGCCAGGGGTGGGGTGAGGTGGGATGGGGTGGGGTGGGATGGGGGGCAATTGTACGGGGGCGAGGGAGTGCTCTGCAGCCCTGAGCGTCACCTTGGAGGGGCCCCTTAGCCCAAGTTCATCCAATACTCATCCAGAGCTTCTGGATCTCTGCACTTGGATGAATGGGGTCCAAGTTCTCTGTGGACAAAACTTGCTCCCTGTAGTCCCCAAGGCCCTGTTAAACTTAACAGAAGAAATGAGGCCAGAGTCCTGTCTGTCACTCAAGCAACGAGCCTTCCAACGTTGGGCACTACCGAGGGATGGGCTCATGTTCCCCGAAAGCCCCCAGGGCACAGAGAGGGATGGCGGGATCTGCCCCAACTCCCTGCGCGCAGCGCGCTGAAGTCACTCGCGAGCCCAGCCTGGGGTAGGGCCCGCCTCGCCAAGCTCTCTGAACACAGCTGGCAAAACAAACACACCTAGAAACCCAGGGGATCCTGGGCACGTGTCAGGGAGAAAGGAGGAGCAGCAGAGGGGAGGGAGGCAATACAGGTTCTATATTCTTCCAAGTTTAGAAAGAAAACTTTTTAAAGTAAACAGAGGCTTGCAGAGATTTCTCCGTGGCCCAGCACCAAGCCCGGTAAATATAGATCTTCAAAAATAAAAGGAGACGCGTGGGGTGACCTGCCCACTCGGACTGAATTAAGTGTGAGGTCACGACCCCGTGCTCCAGGCCGCATGCCAGCAGCGAGGTCCTCGCACAGCTCTCCCTGAGCCCAGCCAGGCCCAGCAGGAATGACACCTCGCTGGCTCCCAGGCGTGGTGATCAGGGACTGGAGTCTGAGGGATTTTCATTTCCGCGTGGCTCGATCTCTCGCCTCCCTGGCCCCTTCATGCTACTGATGAAGCCTAGAAAATGAGGTCTCCTGAAAACCCCCCATGCCCGAGGCAGTTCAGGTGGGGGAGTGCAGACTCTCCACTGGCTCTACTCATTAAGACCCCCCCCCAAGATCTCTGCTACAGAGACCCCACTCCAGTACATGAACGGAGCTCAAACAGGTACCCTGCCTGGAAATGACCAGCCCCACCCCCACCCCACGGACCCCCGGCCACCCCATGCTCACAGCCACAGCAGGTGAGGGTGCGGGGTGTCTGATCAGTGTGTGTGAGAGGAAGAGTGTGTGCACTGAGCTCGAGAATGCTGGAGGAGAGGGCTGTGCGTGTCTTTCCACGCAGGAGCGTGAGTGCCAGGTGCTCCCTGGGGTGCGGGGCAACCACCTGCCAGCTTGATCCTGCGAGGCTGAGACTGTCAGACACGCGCACGCAAGCTGGAGACAGTGAAGACACGGAAAGTAAAAGGCACCCAGGACAGAGCCAGACCAAGAGTGTGCGTGCGTGTGTGAGTGAGGCAGAGAGAGAGAATGCGAAGCAGAGACAGTGCGAAGTACAGAGACAAAGGCCAATGTCCAGCCCCCTGAGAAGAGACTCCCTAGCCCCAAAACCTCTCCCAGGGCTTCTCTCCACCGCTTGTGCCAGAAAGGAAGAGCAGTCGTGGGTCAGCGCTCGCGACGTGGGGGAAGAAACGAGCTCCAGCCCCGGGCGCGCACCGCCTCCCGCCGGCTGCAAGGCTGCCCCGGCTCCTCGGGGCGCCCCCCCCCGGGGGCCAGCCTGACCCCCGCGCCCCCGCGCCCCCGCGCCCCCGCGCGCCCGCCCTGCACGCACCTGGGGTCGGGCTGCCCGCGGCGGCGCAGAGCGCACAGTGCAGGGGCAGCAGGCAGGACAGCAGCGCGCGCAGCCCAGCCATGTGGCCGCGCGGACGCGGGCCGAGGGCGCCCGAGCCGCGAGCCCCGAGGCTGCAGCGCGCCCCGACTGCCGAGCGCCCGCCCCGGCCTCCGCCTGCGCCGCCGCCGCCCGGACCGCGGGCTCCGCGCGCCCCAGGCCCCCGGCGGGAGAGCGGAGCGGCCGACGCGCCAGCGCCCCCCGTGCCGCCTGCCGCCTGCCGCCTGCCGCCTGCCGGTAGGGCCGCCCGCGCCGGGACGCTCCGGGACGCTCCGGGACGCGGCGGGAGCGCCGAGGGGGCGGCGGCGCGGGCCGGGCCGGGCCGGGGGTGGGCTCGCTGGCGGGGCGGGGCGGGGCGGGCGCGGGGCGGGAGGGCGGGCGGGGGGCGCCGCGCGGCCGGGGCGGAGCGCGGGGCCGGGGAGCGCGGCGGGCGCGCGGCCCTGCCGGATCGGAAGTGCCACGCGGAGCCAGCCGCCTGGGCTCCCCCCACCCCACCCCGGGGATGGGGGGGGTCGGGGGGACAGTCCGCAGCCGCCTTCCTCGTCCCCTCCGCTCCCCTCCCTTGACCGCGGGGCTCCCTCTCTAGCCCCTGGGCCCAAGGGGTGTCCAACTCCATGTGGATGGGGAGACAGTGAGCACCTCTCCTCCCCGCAAGAGGGTGCCTCCTTTCTCTCCTCATGGTCTTGACGCCCTCTCGAACCTTTGACGTACCCCCCCATCTAACCTTTGACACACACCCCCTGGATCTACCCATTTCACAGACTACAGCTCTCTGTGCCCCCAAATGCAATGGGTGGCCTGTGTCCTAGTGGAGAGTGGGGCTCGGCAAGGTGAGGAGAGAGCCTGGGCTTGATGCTCACACAACCCTCATTGAAATCCTAGCCCTGAGCCTTCCTTAGAGTGTTAACTATAGCACTTAGTAGGTGTTCAATAAATAAATATCCTCCCCCTCTGGCACCCATAGCCCCTCCACAGCCCAAGGTGGGAAGAAACCAAGAGTCAGAGATGAGAGTGGTTTGCTGGTTTTGCAATGTTCCTGAGACCAGTTCAGTAGTCAGGGCAAATAGCCCAGCTCCTGCCTGACTGTATAAATGTGTTCCTAGCAATTTGCAAATGAACTGTATTTCAAGCAAGCCAGAGGTGGGAATTGGAGAAAGGAGTTTTATGTGTGTGTGTGTGTGTGTGTGTGTATGTGTGTGTGTCTGTGTGTATGTGTGTGTGTGTATGTATGTGTGTGTGTGTATTTTAAAGAACTGTGGAATAAAGAATCTTTGTATAAAGTGCATAAAGACCCCTAATCGTTCTGCTTTTGAGTCCAGACATTTTGTTGTGGGGCCTTCTTAAAGGAGACCAACTTGTGGGTGGAAATTCCCTAACCAGACTTCTCCTGGGAATCCCTGGATCCCCTGAGAGAGGCCTTGGCTTCCTGCACTCTTCCCCCATGACGTGAGGCTTCCCAGTCTGCACCCTTGCTGGGCTCTGAATATGTTCCTGTCTTGTGGGCAGAGATTGCTGGATTCCTCATCCCTGTGGCCCCCAGGCCCTGGCCCTGGGCCTTCTGAGAGGCAGTGCTGATAGAGTGAGCAAGCTTTGGAGGGGCAGTGCATTTGTGAAAGCCGGTTCAGAGAGCTGAAGCAGTGTCCCGGGTCACACAGCTCATTTGCAACAGAGCCAGATCAGAATCCAGCGCCTAGTGCTGAGCCAGAAAAAGAGATAAGATTAGGGGTCAGTAGAATACTCTAGGCTGAACTTTGCCAAGTACAGTCTGTGTGACTGAGGGCAAGTCATTTTTCTCTTTGGGCTGCAGCACGTCATCTGCCAAAGGGGAAACCATGAGACTCACAGGAATCCCAGGCAAACTCTGAGGTTCTGTGGAAATGCAGAGCGTATTCTATTCCAAGCAATACCGAGACCATTCAGTTATTTGAAAATGGCACCACCAAACTGATCTATATTAAGTTCAGGAAAAATAGAGTTCCTTTTTCTCCTCTTTCTGGTCCCTTAAGATCTATGAAGTCAGGAGCCAGACTGTGGTTTTGTGTGTAGGGCAGATGGAGCAAGAATGTGAGGGGTGGGGGCACCTGGGTGGCTCAGCGGTTGAGCATCTGCCTTTGGCTCAGGTCCTGATCCTGGAATCCTGGGATCGATTCCCACTTCAGGCTCCCCACAGCCTGCTTCTCCCTCTGCCTATGTCTCTGCCTCTCTCTGTGTGTCTCTCATGAATAAATAAGCAAAATCTTAAAAAAAAAAAAAAATGTAGGGTGGGGGAGGGTGCGGCATGTGTCAGTGGGAATTTGGAGGAGAGACTGTGAAATGACCAGGCTAGAAGTGTCTCCATCTGGCCGTCCACAAATCCCCTAAATGAGCTCAGGATAAAATGACCTCCCTTCCCGAGGTCTCAGTTTTCCCAGCTGCAGTGTGGGGGCCCTGTGGGGACAGAAGAGCCAAGGCCTGTGATTGCTAATTTTCTCCTTTGCCACCCCAGCAGCTTGCCTAGCCCCATCCCAGGGCCCCACCCCGCTCTTCCTGCCTTAGACTTGGTAAGTCAAGAGGGACAAACTGCAGCTGGGACCCCAGCAGCCTGACTCATGAGCGATGGGCTGGGGCCTTCCCTGGAGCCAGTCCTGGCGAGCAGAGAGCAAAACCTCACCCGGGTTCTCTACCCCCACCCCCTTCCCTGGGGCTACGACGGTTGCTTTTGTTGGCAAGTATTGTATGTCCAAGCTCTTTTCTACTGAGGAAGCCTTTGTTAGCAAGAGGGGACAGGGGAGCATAACTCAGAGTCTGGGCAGAAGGTAGAGGAAATGGCTGGGTGGCAGGCCCCATTTCTGGAGGTGCACAGGGCCAAAGCAAAAAAATCTACAGGCATCAGCTGGGGACCCTCCTCGGAAGGCACGCTCTGGCTTCCCCGTCTCCCACCTTGGGATTCTTGCACAATGGAGTATGGCTCAGGTGTTTCTCTTCCTGATGGCCCTCCAACGTTCACCCAACGCTCCTTCTGTCTGATGCCCTGGCAGAGGAGGGGGAGATGCAAACAGTTGGCACTGCACACAGTCAGCAACCCAATGGAAGATGTGACAGGTACACGAGAAAGCCGGAAACCAGGTAAGACGGGAAAGAGAAGCGTGCTCTGGACAAAGGAGCAGTCAGCTGTGAGTGCAACGGGGATTCCAGAAGGAGAGGGGCTCGGGGCAAGTTCAGTGGAAAACCTGTGTCCAAGCCAAAGCCCACAGGCTTCAGAGCGCACCATGGTGTCTGCACAAGGTTCTCCCACCCTCATCCCCTCAGAGGCCACGTAGTTCAGTTTGTCTTCCTTTTTTCTTTCTAAAAGCCTTTCTGTTGAGAAAACTAGAACACACACAGAAAAGTGCCATCTGCTCGTGTTTTTACACAGGTAGACTGAGGCTCCGAGAGCAGAGGTGACTTCCCCGAGGCCACATAGTAGGTTCGTTCGGTGGCAGGATAACACCCCAAGACTCCTGGCTCCTGGCCAGATGATCCCAGGGCATCATCCTGTTGGTTCCTCCCACCCAGGACCTCAGGCCTTTGGCTACTCATCATTGGTTCTCACCTCATTCCTAAGAGAAGAAGAAAGGTTTGGGTCTCTTCCTCCTGACACTTGAGAGCCACAGTCTCACTAACAAGTTTCAGGTCAGTAGTTCTCAAATCAGGGTCACCGGGACCAGCAGAATCAGCATCACTAAAAAAAATAAAAATATATAAAAAAATAAAATTAAAATTAAAAAAAAGAATCAGCATCACTTAGGTGTTTGTTATAAATTTGAATTTTCAGGCTCCACCTGAGGTTCAGCCAGAATCTTGCGGGGGTGGGGCCCTGCAACCTGTGCTTTATCAAATCTTCCAGGGGATTCTAATGCACACTGAAATATGAGAATCACTATTTTAGGCGAAGCTTTCAAAATCAGGGCCAAATTAGGATGAGAACGAACTCACTGAGGATCTGTGACCTGCTCCTCATTAAAGGCTGCCTCCCTCATCTCCTATCCCCAGTCCCTAAAGCCTGGCCTCAAGTCCTATCTGAATCTGGGTCTGGACAGAGCTCCAGGAGCATCCAGAGCAACCAGAGACCATGCCTTATGGTCCTTCTCCACATCACCCTTCTCCGCTCCTCCTCCCCCACCCCCTAACATTCCCTTTGCACATTTCTTGGCGAGTGTCTAGTGACTGTATCTAGGAGACCCGGATGGGTTAAGTTAACCACAGTGATTTGTCATACATTACAGAACAGCTGACACCCCCGAGACCGACTGAACCATGAGATCAGTTAGAAACAATGCTGTTTGTGCCCTGTGTGTAGACACTGTACAGTTGTGGTTACTGCATGTCGAGAGGGGTTCAGGGAGAGGAGGTCTCCTTGTCCTTGTAAGGAGGGATACCAGAAAGTCCAGCTGTCCTTCAGGAATTCTGTTACTGCCATTTCCTTTCCCGAAACTGTAGATTTACAATTGCAAACCAAAGTCCAGTGCAGCCCCTGACATTGGCCCCTTGGAGCTCAAGAGAGGCAGGCAGAAAGCAGAGACCCTCTCCTATTTCCTGGAGCCCCTTGGCTCATGATAAAAGGTCTCAGAGAAATTTGGCCAGGACTCATTGCTCACAAGCCTTTCTTCAAATCCTGGCGTCCTCTTAGATGTCATGGTGGCATCCTGCAGCAAACATGGGCCAGGCCTCCATTCTAGTCCTTTCTCTATATCAGTTGGGTGACATGTAACAAAATCAATTTTAAAATATGGCTTAATTTGTTACTCCACATAATATGGAATACTGAAACACACCTGTGCCTCCCTGATTAATTTAGCAGCCTAACAAAATTATCCAGCACCCATTTTCTTCCCCTTTCCACTCTGCCATGTTTGTGTTTAGTCTTGTCCTCAGGCTTGTCCCCTCTTAATCACAAAATAGCTGCATTAGCGCCAGCCCAATGCATATGTTCACCAAATGCAATGGTGACCAAAGGCAGTGGAAAAGGGAGTTTTTTCTTGTCATCTCTTTTTAAAAATTTATTAT